TTTTTTTTTTTCAGTGCCTCCTTGAGCGGAGGCCAGGGCAGGCTGGAGGCAGGTATATGGGATTTATTTATCTTCTATAATTGAAACTTTGTAACTTTGAGCGGAGCCCAGGGCCGGGCCAGGGCAGGCAGGAAGCTTGGCTTCCTTCATCGCCAGGGGCAACCCAAGCCTCCTGCTCGCTCCAGTTCCGTGGCCACCGCCATCTTAGTTGGGTTAATTTGCATACTCGCTCCTGATTGGCTGGTGGGTGTGGCTTGTGGGGGTAGCAGATTGACAAAGTGATGGTTAATTTGCATCTTTCTCTTTTATTAGTGTAGATGTTACCCCAATAAATTCGATTTAAAAACCAATAAAAATTAAAAATAACAAAATTATTTGTTTAAAACATGAAGTAAAAATTAATAGTAAATTGAAAACAAAAATGAGGCCCTAGCTGGTTTGGCTCAGTACATAGAGCGTCGTCCTGCAGACCAAAGGGTCCTGGGTTCAATTCCAGTCAAGGACACATACCTCGGTTGCAGGCTCCTTCCCGGCCCAGGCCCTTGGTCAGGGCACATGCAGGAAGCAACCAATTGATGTGTTTCTCTCACATTGATATTTTCTCTTTTTTCCCTTCTCTCTTCCACTCTCTCTAAAAATGAATGGAAAAATATCCTCAGGTGAGGATTAAAAAAACAAACAAAATTGAGGTAAAATTTAAGGTACAGTAACTGAGACCATCTATGTTATAATGCACTTGATGTCTAAATTTGAAATTTATTCATGGAATCAGCCAGAGCACATTCTTCAACCTATGATTTTCTTTCTTGAAAAAAAAAAAAATCTTATCTTTTTTAGTGCATCTTTCTAGGCACAACAAAATCTGAAAAATCATGGAAAAGATAAAGCATATAAAATTTAAGAAGTTGTATGTAGCATACTTAGAATCAAAACTCAATGTGTGTGAACAAAGTGGAGAAAGAAATTGAAGAAATTTCTAACATGAATTATTTATATTTATATTCAACAATGTGTCTTTAATCTTTATTTCTGATAATAGCAGCCCTTTTTATTTTATTTTTAATCCTCACCCCAGGATATTTTTCCATTGATTTTTAGTGAGAGAAGGGAGGGGGAGAGAGAGAGAGAGATCACTGTGAGAGAGACACATCGATCAGTTGCCTCATACATGTGCCCTGACCAGGGCTGGGAATAGAGCCTGCAACTGAGGTATATACCCTTGAACGGAATCATACCTAGGACCCTTCAGTCCACAGGCCAATGCTCTATCCACTGAACCAAACTGGCTAGGGCTGGTAATAGCAGTTTTTAAGAAAATTCTTTTGGCCATATTACCCAAAGCAATATATAGATTTAATGAAATCCTCATCAAAATCCCAATGTCATTTTTTAAAGAAATAGGATAAAAAATTATTTTGTGGGGGAACCACAAAAGACCCCAAATAGTCAAAGCAATTCTGTATCAGAAATGTATATTTGAGCCCTAACCGCTTTGGCTCAGTGGAAAAGAGCATCGGCCTGCGGACTGAAGGGTCCCAGGTTCGATTCTGTTCAAGGGCATGTACCTTGGTTGCGGGCACATCCCCAGTAGGGGGCGTGCAAGAGGCAGCTGATCCATGTTTCTCTCTCATCGATGTTTCTAACTCTCTATCCCTCTCCCCTCCTCTCTGTAAAAAATCAATAAAACATATATTTTAAAAAAAGAAATGTATACTTGAAATCTATATGATATTATTAACCAATGTCACCCCTATAAATTTAATTTTTAAAAAAGGAAAACTCTTTTAAATAGAAATGCAAACTTGAAGAATCAAATTAGATTATGGCAATTTTTAAGTATTTACAAAGTAAATTCTACACCTAAATTACACGGACTTAAGATTTTAATTATCCTACTTTCTAATTGCCTAAAAAGGGGAGAAAAGAGAAGTTACCTGAAGTTGATGAACAAATCCAGCATTAGGATTAATACAAAACCTTCTTTCTTGAACATAAGCAAATGCATCTCTGAAAACATAAAAAGAAAATTAAAGTGATGTTATCAGTTCATGAATTAATCTTAATTGTGATAATTCATCTAAAATAGAAACTTATCTAAATATTTATCTAAAATAGGAAATCATAATCCTATAGCTTGTACTAGAAAGAGGTAGTGAGTGGTAGTGGAAATATCGACAGCGTGGTCAGACTAATCACAATAAAATGGTATCATTGTAAGACCTGTCTTGGAGGGCTATTGAGAAGATGGGAGGTAAGTGCAGAGCACCGTATAGAGCACCTGTCACATCGTACATGCTCACAATGTTATCAGTGGTCAATGAGAAGTATATCTACTTCCACACTGTTATGAGGCATAAATGAGAAAAACGCCTAGGAAACAGTGCCTGGAACATAGTAGAGACCTAATAAAACGAAGTTACTTTCACTATTCATATTATTACTGACAAGACACCAAATAATAAAGAGAATATATAAAAGTTTTCCAATGCTTGTTCATTTTTCAAATAAAATAAATTATCTGTATTCAAATAATATTCCTTTAAGAACTGATACTTATAAGCAAACTTGTCCATTTTAAACACAAAGGATACGAAAAAAACAACACTAAATAAGCACTTGAGGAGTCCAGGGCCTTCACAGGGAAAGCAGTTGGGGGGTGGGAGTGGGGACAAAGAAGACTCAAGGTAGGAAGGGGGGGCTCCAATTCCAACTGTGACCACCACTGCCATCCCGGGGGGTAGCCCGGAACAGCAAAAGGAGGCCAGCAATCGTTCCCATAAGGGCAGTGGCAGTACCCGGGGATATATTGCCAGTAAGAAGAAAAAGTGTCCACCTCTAGCTTTGCACAGGGTATCAGCATGGAAGCCATGAGTGAGAAGAAAATGGTGCCTTCTGATTTTAGCATAGGACCTACAGAGAAAACTTGCAAACCTTTGTCATTTAAGGATCCCAACTTTGTGCCCTCTGGCCATGGTGGTGTAGCTGGCAAGAACAGAACTTGGAAGAACTAACAAATTCTCATTTCTGAAAGGGCATTGCCTTGGCAACTGAACAATCCCATCTACTTCAGTAGTGATGCTCCCCCATCCTTCAAACCAGCTAAGCATTCTGATGTTTTAGGCCTTCTTGCCAACTACAGTGACCCACAGAGCAAGCTGCGGTTCAACACCATGAAAGACTTTCCCTACATTCGCAGGCTGCCATCCTATGTTGTCACTGGCTACCTGGCCCTGAGAAACACCATAAGCATCGTTCCCTAAGCCTTGAGAAATGGAGTTGAAGTGGAAAACTATTTCAAAGTTAGACTTTGGACTCACAATTTTGCTTCATGGAAACATACTCATTCTGCTGTCAATCTGGAAATGCCAGTGCTATGCCTTGGAAAGAATGTTTGGCTTTAAGGATTTTTTTTCCTATATTTTTCCTCCAAGTGTAATATTTCCTGTTGAGTTATATTTTATTTGTTGCCTCAAGTAAAGTCATTTGACAAGAAAACAACAACAAAAAACCCCCAAGCATTTGAATGTTTATTATGTGTCAGGTATGTGGATCCAATGCTGAACATAGCTCAAATAGAGAGTAATGGGGAACATGGTATAAAAATGGAGAGGCTGCCCAGCCAGCATGACTCAGTGGTTGAGTATCAACCTGAGAACCAGGAGGTCATGGTTCAATTCCTGGTCAGGGCAGATGCCCAGATTGTGGGCTTGATCCCCAGTTTGGGGCGTGCAGGAGGCAGCCAATCAATGATTCTGTCTCATAATTGATGTTTCTATCTCTCCTCTCCTTTTTTCTCTGAAATCAATAAAAAAATATATTGAAAAAAAGAAAATGATGGAGAGGTTGATGGGTGCATGTCATGCAAGTTTCATTTGCTAGGTTAAGTTATTAAGAATTAGAAACCTTTGAAAGCTTTTTGGGGTAAGGTGGTTATATGTTTAGATCAGATTTATCTTTTGAAAAGATCATTCCAAGTACAGTGTGAAGAACAAAACAGACTGGAGAAAAGAATACAGGAGACCACTAAGAAGGCTCCTATTGGAGGAGTCCAGGAAGATACAACTGAGCTTGGATTGGGGGGATTAAATGATGAGGGAAAGATATATTGATACTCAATGTATATTTTAGGATATAAAACAGACAGGACTGGTTAATAGATCAGTTTGGGAGATGGGGAATTAAAGAGGGGAAGGTATCAATGATTACAAGATTTCTAACTTGTGCAACCAGACAATCTAACAAAGGAAACACTGCACAATGGCCAGGTTTATGTTCTGTTTTGGGCCAAGAGGCTCATGACCTCTCCTCTCTCTTTTCTATCTTTGCATATGCGTGGAAAATATTATTTTGGATAAGAAAGACTACACTGAATTATGAAGAGAAGCTAAAACAATTCTTAGGTAATTTTTCATCCAACTACTGTTAAAGGAAAACATAATAAATTAGCCTTTTAAAGAAGGAAAGCAGTAACATCTGTGTGTAAGTGTTTAAAACTTATACTAACCAATTCCCTAGCAGTAAATAGTCTTCCATGGATGATTCTAACTATAACTATCTTCTTAAAATAATAATAGCAGTACTCCATAAAACAAAACAAAAAATTTAAGTAGATAAGGGAGACAAGCTACAAAGGTTAAGAGACAAAGCAGCTGGTACAAGAGCCTGCCTAATCAAACATGACTAGATAACAAAATCAAAAGAATATTAACTTTAAACTCCCAACTTCTCCATTAAATTAATAATAATTTAAATTGTGGCTCAGTTTCTGAGTACTTTCTTACCTGTACTTCATTCCAAATGTTTCCATAATGTATGCAATAACAAAGGCAGCACTGAAAAGGGGGGGAAAAATTTAGAAAAAACAACAGCAAAAAACAGAAAACACAACTCATTAATTAAATGTTAGAGAGAAAAAAATTATCTCTAACTTCATACCTCCTGGAGATCCCTGCATTTCCATGGACAAGAACTTTCCCTGAAAAAAAAAGAAATAGTTATTCTGATAGAAAAATACAAAACAAGAAGTAAAGAAAACACAATCTTGCAAACAGGCCATTATATATAATTACAACTTTCATATCCTGAATTTAAGATGAATACTAACTGCCCTAGCTGGTTTGGCTCAGTGCATAGAGCGTCAGCCTGCAGGGTCCTGGGTTTGATTTCGGTCAAGGGCACATACCTAGGTTGCAAGTTCCTCCCTGGCCTGGGCCCTAGTAGAGGCTTGTGCAAGAGACAACCAATAGATGTTGTATATTTTAGGATATAAAACAGACAGGATTTCTCTCACATCAATATTTCTGTCTTTCCCTCTCTCTTCCTCTCTCTCTAAAAATCAATGGAAAAATATCCTCGGGTGAGGATTAAAAATAAATAAGTAAGTAAATAAATAAATAAAATGAATACTAACTAAAAAATTAACTAAACAAATAATCTAAATATAAACATTAGCTAAGTAAATATTATTTACCTCCAGTTTGTAAGCTCCCATCAATAAATTCTTTAGTCTGAAGGCAAAGACAATGTGTTATAATAAAACATAAAGATTAACATAAACATAAAATACATACAGTGAAACAAAATACATTAAAAACAATTTCCTGCTAATTTATATGAATAATAATTACATTAATTCAAGAATTTTCAGATAATTTCAAATACTATTTGAAGTTTAAAAGTTATATAGGAGCTAAAATTTAATTTAATAATTTCAAAGTGTGATTTCTCTAATTTTAAAAACATATATAACACCACAAATTCAGCCATAACAAAGAAAAAGTTCAGACCATAATTAAGAGGTCAAACTATGAATACATTTTAAGTAATATTAAAATATTGATACCTACCATGGGAAAAAAACGTATTATATTTTCAACTGGATTATCTGCAATATCCAAGACTAAATATCTGAAAATAGAATATTTTGTGATAAGCACACTTTCAGACAAAACTCTCTTTATGTATTAAAAACCTAACTTTGAAAATTTCTAGACAACCATAAAAGAATGCAAAACAACTTTCAAAGTATCATATTCCCAAGAACTGGACCATAGATTATATATTGCTTGAAGCATACATAACATTATTTTTTATATGTATTTTTTTTTATTGATTTCAGACAGGAAGGGAGAGGGAGAGAGAGAGATAGAAGTATTAATGATGAGAGAGAATCACTGATCAGCTGCCTCCTGCAAGCCTCCCATTGTGGATCGAGCCCCCAACCCGGGCATGTTCCCTGACCAGGAATCGAAATGTGACCTCCTGGTTCATAGGTTGACGCTCAACCACTGAGCAACGGCAGTTGGGCAGCATACATAACATCTAAAGCCTTAAATAACACATGTGAACATTTCTCTTGATATGTTAATATTTAAAAAAATCTATCTGGTTAAAATAGAAAAATCACGAGACCTTCCTCCAGATCAGAGTGGACCTAGAAAATAAAGACAAAAAGTGCCTATATTCATTATTGTTACTCTTCTATTTCTACTTCTCTAGGACTACATGATTCTTCTCTGAATGGTCCTGTAATCCACTCCTCCTTACAACCCTACAGAGAGCACTTCAGAAGAAGCCTAGATTGGGCACAGGGCGGGGCCAGGCCGGGGCACCCGGAGCCCAACCGGATCCCACGGCCCGCGCCCCTTCACGCCTGCCCCCCAAAAAGAAGAAGAAGCCTAAAGTCTGAAAGAGAAGGAGCTAATCAAAATAAAAGGCAGTCTGATGGAGCCAAGAGTAAAAAATTCACTGTTTGAACTAACCTTCAGTAGCGCAAAAAGTCAAGAGACCACCTGTCCTGGAATTTATGCTTTGGAAAACATTTAAAATAACACATTATTAATATGGTAGGCTTTATTTTATTTTGTGAAAAACTTCCATTTCTAATTTATCCAACTTAACTTGTTTACTTAACATAACTATAAAGTTATGAAATTAATTTTTAAAGTTAGTATTGTTTTAAAAATTACAGTTCTTTAATGGTAAAACAACAATAAATTCAGGGCATATCAGAGAGAAGTTGAAGCTCAGGATCCAAGGATAATACAATGTAAAAACCGTAAGGATTCTGACAACAGTATCTTAGAATGACTAGGTAGACCTGTTGTATAAAACATTGCTTCAGGGGAGAAAATGTTAATTCAGAGTTAAACTAAAATATTTTACTATATGCTAATTTGAATGTCAAAAACTACTAGTACCCCTAGCTGTTTTGGCTCAGTGGATAGTGTCAGCCTGTGGACTGAAGGGTCCCAGGTTCGATTCCCATCAAGGGCACATGCCCAGGTTGCGCTTGATCCCCAGTAGGGGGTGTGCAAGAGGCAGCTGATTAATGATTCTCATCATTGATGTTTCTATCTCCCTCTCCCTTCCTCTCTGAAATCAATAAAAATATATTAACATATATATATATATATATACACATATTTTTTTAAACCCACTACTAGAACTATCCTATATAATAAAAGCCTAATATGCTAAGTGTCTGACCATTCATTCAAACATTTGACCTGTCGCTATGACATGCACTGACCACCAAGGAACAGACGCTCCAACAGTAGATTAGCTTGCTGCAGGGGTCCAGCCAATCGGGACTGGGTAAGATGGGCCGGACACACCCTGGAGCCCTCCCACAGTCCCTTCCCAGCCCTGATTGTGCACCAGTGGGGTCCCTCGGCCTGGCCTGTGCCCTCTCACAATTCAGGACCCCTCGGGGGATGTCAGAGAGCTACAGGCCAGGCCGAGGGACCCCACCAGTGCACAAATCCGTGCACTGGGTCTCTAGTCAACCTATAAGCCAATACTCAGTCTAAGGAGAAAGGGTTCTTCCATTAGTATAAAGAACCTGCTCTGGGTACTAAAAATAAATGTAAAATGATAACATTCATTTTCTCTAATATACAAAAGTCTATGTGTGTATATACATAATACACATATACAATAAAGAAATATTTAGAAGGAAATATAACAAAATGTTAACTAAAGTATATCATCTAGGTTGTGGAATTATGAATGAGTTTTTAAATATTTTTTCTTGATATCATTTCAGTTTTTCCAAAGTATCTATAAAGGACAAGTGTTTATTTTACAATTAGAAATAATTCAATCTTTTATTTTTAAAATATAGACATTTATTTTTAAAAACTAATTTTTATTCACTGAGAAATGTGTACACATAGTCAAAAGTTCTGTCAGTATAAAAAATATTTGCAATGAAAAATAGATCCCTTTACCATCCTAGACCCTGAATTTCACTTCTGAAAAGCAATCACTGTCAGGTTTCTAGTCTTAGTCCAGAAATTTTCTATACAGATACAAAAATATATAGGGTGTCTCAAAAATGTATATACACTTTAACAGCTGATAATTCACTTAATTTTCACTCCTTTTCAGGTTTACCTGATTTGAAATAATAGGTGAAGCCAGACTAAGCTTTGAACAAAGAAAATTTATCCTAAAGTACTACTAGACTGTTTTTATGGGAATACAGACAGGATAAAGTTTATGTTACAAAATCGGCAATAGCTGACAAATTGAAGGCACACAAATTCCGAATGAAATTCCAGTTCTTTGATGTTTGTGATTCCACTGGTTCATGTTATCAGCAGTGCCTGGACCAGAACAGTCCAGTTTGAAAACAGGCATTGACAAAAAATTATTCATTTCTGTAGTAGCTTTTAAATTTTGAAAATGAACTGTATGTTAATAAACACTGACATTATGCTGGGCCAGCATGGCTCGGTGGTTGAGCTTTGACCTATGAACCAGAAGATCACGGGTTTGATTCCCAGTGAGAGCATATGCCTGTGTTGTGAGCTCGATCCCCAGTGTGGGGCATGCAGGAGGCAGCTGATCAATGATTTCTTTCTCATCATTGATGTTTCGATCTTTCTCCCGCTCTCCCTTTTTCTCTGAAAAAAAAAAAAAAATTAAATAAACACTGACTTTATAACCATTCAAAGTGCATATACATTTTTTGGGACACCCATTATATGCCTAATGCCTTGTATACATTTTTAAACACACTGAGAGTGTACATGGTTCTGTACCTTGGTTTTTCTTTTTTAAATTTGTTATCGATTTCAGAAAGAAAAGAAGAGGGAAAGAGATAGAAACATCAATGATGAGAATCACGGATCGGCTGTCTCATGCATGCACCACACTGGGGATCAAGCTGCAACCCGGGCATGTGCCCTAACTGGGAATCGAACTGTGACCTCCTGGTTCATAGGTCGACGCTCAACCACTGAGCAATGCCGCCAGGCTGATTTTTCTTTTAATAAATCTTAGAGATTATTCCATATCAATATACACATAAATATTTAAATATTTTAAAATTTATTTTTATTGTTGAGAGTATTACAAATGTCCCCTAGTTACTCCCCCCTGTGCTCCTCTCCACCCTGCTCCCACCCGACCCTAGGCCTTCACCTCACTATTGTCTGTGTCTGAGGGTTATGCATATATTCATATCAGTTCTTTGGTTCATCTCTTCCTGTTGCCCCTCCCCACTTCCCTTTGAAATCTGTCAGTTTGTTCCATGCTTCCATGTCTGTGGTCCTATTTTGTCAGTTTATTTTGTTCATTAGATCCTACATATAAGTGAGATCATGTGATATCTGTCTTTCTCTGACTGGCTTATTTCACGTAGCATAATAACAGAAAAATTTCATTCTTTTTCATGGTTACAGTATTCTATTGTATGTTCACACAATATATTTTACAATGTCTTATACTAATGGACATTCAGGTTGCTTTCATTTTTATAAACAATAAAGCAGAGCATTAAAATGTTTTTAACATATATGCTTCTATATAGACACACAATATCTCTAGAATGATATTCCAGGAAGAGTTTTAATAGTAGCTGCCTCCCAGGAGAGAAGTTAGGTATCTGGGTTTAGAGGAGGAAAGAGACTTACTTTCATTATATACCATTGTTGTACCGCTTGTAGTATACTCAATTTTAAAAATAAAGTTAAAATTAAAAAATTATAGATTATTAGATGCTCAACAGCACTCACTGTAAGATAAATAAGATAGGCAAATTAAAATTACATGAAACACCATTTTAATCCAGGAGATCTGGAAAAATTTTTAATGCTTTATAATTCTGTTTAAGAGAGATCCAAAAAGAGTTATTCTCATATACTTCATAGTGGAAATGCAGACTGATCCAACTCACTGGAGGGCAATTTGCAGCACCTATTAAAATTTTAAATGCTCATATCTAGCAATTCCACTTCTACAAATTTACTGATATACTTACATATGAATTAAATGACATGTACAGGGAAACTGACTATATGCTATATTAGCAAGTCTGGAAACAATCTAAATGTCCAACAATAGGAGACAGTTGAATAAATTTTAGTGTAGTCATACAATAGATTACTGTACAACTTAAAAAGAATAACGCAGGTTCTAGCTGGTTTGGCTCAATGGATAGAGCTTCGGCCTGCAGACTGAAGGGTCCAAGGTTCGATTCTGGTCAAGGGCACATGCCAGGGTTGCGGGCTCGATCCCCAGTAGGGGGCATGCAGGAGGCGGCCTATCAATGATTCTCTCTCATCTTTGATATTTCTATCTCTCTCTGCCTCTCCATTCCTTTCTGAAATCAATACAAATATATATTTTTTTAAAAAGAATAATGCAGCTCTAAGTAATGATATGCAGCAACTTCCAAAAAATATACAATTTTTAAAAAGCCAGAGTAAAAAAATAGTTTACCTTAGGAATTTGCTTATATATGTAACATTACTCTGGAAGGATACTCAAAAAGAAGTAACAATTGGATGTCTTTATGAAGGGAATTTAGTCTTTAGGGGATAGCAATAGGGAAACCTACTTTTCATATACATTATTTCAAACCTTTAGAATTCTGAGTTATGTACATGAATTACTTATTTAAAATATTTTAAAGGACATCTATTTTTAAAATGATGTGCTGTACAACCCATCTCTATGTACAGAAGAAAGTCTGATATAATAAAATCAACTTGAATTAAAAACCAGATTACATGTTTGCTACATGTAACATTTTAATAAATAAGAGCAATAATCTTACCTAAATAATTGTTGAAAGTTTGGTTTAATAAAGTTTGCTTCAATATTTTGTCTTATGCATATGATATGGGTTACTCCATGTTTCTGTAGTATAGGTAGCTATAAAAAAAGAAGAGGCAGGGGAGAGAAACAGTTTAAAATACAAACATCATCCTACTGTAACACAGATGTTTGAAAATACACAATTCAACATTAGAATTAATACAGACACATCTGAACTTTAAATAAAGGGGATTAAAGCTAATTTTAAGATAATATAACTGCTGTGGCCAGTTGTTCATTGGTAGAGCATCGGTCTGTGGACCAAAGGGTTGCAGGTTTGATTCCCAGTCAAGGGCATGTACTTTGGTTGCAGGTTCCCCACCCCCAGTAGGGTCATGTGTGGAAGGCAACCAATCGATATGTCTCTCTCACAATGATGTTTCTTTCTCTTTCTATCTCTCTCACCTGTCCTCCCTCCCTCCACTCTCTTTAGAAATCAATAGAAAAAATAATATAACTGAAATGATCAGCAAGAGATTTCAATGATTCAAGATTAATACATTAAATGTCCTCAAAAGACTAATAGGACTATTTTACAATTATAATTTTAGAGCTCGAGGGGAGCTTAAAGATAATTTATTTGGAAAACAATACTATACAGTTGCTGAAAGCATGGACTTTGGAGTCATAAGAGCCCAAGCTTTATATCCAGCCTTGCAGTTCAATTTTCTCATGTGAAAATGGGGAAAACAATACCTAGTCACTAAGTGGTTATAACAAGTAGATAATACATGTGGTGTTTGGCAGTGGCTTCAGCACATGTCAAGTGTTTATTAAATAGTAGTTACATAAATTGACTATGATATGTTTTTCTTTAGAGGGAATTAAGACATAAATAGTTGTTCAACATCACTGACTTAATTAATAATATAGTACCAGAGTCAAAATCTCTAGATTACTCCTGGCCCTCTCCCAGTATACTTTTTGTACTAGAAGCCAGAATTAATACAATTCATAGAATCTAATGAAAGCTTTCAGGGTTTTAAAGTTCTACTAAAGTTGAGAATAGGCAACTCCAAATGTTATCTTCTTATATTCTGTGGTGCTTTTTTGGCTTGTATTATAGAGCAATTTAATACAACAACTCTAGGAAATATCAAATTTTTATTTGCAAGCCATTATAGTTTTCTGTGAATTTATAGATGATGTTATTTTAATACCTAAAATGTAAATTCTATGAGAGCAAGAACTTTGTTCAATGATTCATATTAAGTATGTGTAACAGTGCCTCAAACACAGTAGTGGTTCAATAATAATGTTTAATAAATGAACAGTTCATGTAGACATGAGGAATCAGAATAATCTTGAGTTTTCTATATTTTAATGCTATAATCCTATATATTTAATTCCCACTTTCTACATTAAATACTCCAGAACAGTAATACTAATAATTTATGAGAGAAGTCAAAGGATAATTTATATTTGCTATGGACTGAATGTACCCTCCTAAAACTAATGTTGAAGCCCTAACTTCCAAGGTGATGGTATTAGGAGGTATATCTCTGGAAAGTAATCAGATAGACACCTCTCAAGGTTGTTGGCTTAGATGAGGTCATGATGGTGGAGCCTCTATGATGGAATTAGTCCTCTTATAAGAGGAAGAGACATTAGTTTCCTCTCTGTCATGTGAAGATACAGCTAGAAGGCAGCCTTTGGCAAGCTAGGAAGAGGGAACTCACCAAAACCTAATCTTGTTGGCACCCTGATCTCAGACTTCCCATCCTCCAGAACTGTGAGAAATAAATGTCTGTTGTTGAAACCACCCAGTCTTTTATTATAGGCACCAAGTATTTTATTATAGCAGCCTGAGCTAATTAAGAAAACAAGGTTTTCAAAAGTTTTAAATATTAATTTTTGCAGCAAATTTTCCTATGTCTAACAGAGATTAGAGAGTTAAATTATCGTTGTATTTCTAAGTATATCTTGAATAAGAAGGGAGGTAAGCATTTTGTAGGATTAATAATTAATGTTGCATATTCACATTTATCCAACCTACAAAATGATTTCAACATTCATTCCTTTGTTCACATTTGATCTATGATAATCTGAAGATTTCATATCTATTAATGTGAGGAACTAGAAGACAACATATATAATTGTGGACAAAAACAATTTGAAGGCATGTTAGGTTATTAATAAGTAAAAACAAGCCTGATTATCAAAATAGAATCCAAATGCAATAGCAAAGAGAGTACTTTTTACTATTCAATAGATTTGATTATATAAAACAAATTATGACGTTTTCATACTTACAAACAACAGAGAAGTTTTACAAAAGAAATAGTTTAATAGTTACAAAGGGCCTTAGTTTGCCCTTTTTATTAAAACTGTATTTGAATGTAATAAAGGATAGGCTTAAATAATGAGTAGTAGGAAAGGAGTTTATTCCCTAAAGTATCTCTATCTCCTTATAATGTTTTATTTTGTTGTTGTTATATATTTTGGAATGATGGTTATGAAAAGAAATATTGGTGACTCAGGGTGAAAAATAATCAAATTTGCCATATAAGCTTTTGAAGAGATAGATCTATATACAAATATTTATTATTTAATATGACAGATAGTAGAATTGGTAGTGAGAATACAAAAAAAAATTAAAACCATCTTGAAGGCCAGTATTTTGTGAACACTACATTATTTGGACAATAACTTCATGTTTGTCTTTTACAAAGTAAGTCACATTTAAATCTACAGTTGTCTGACCTATCCTTTCCAACGTAGTGGCAGGCCATCAAAATGACCAGGATGACTCAACGGTCAAAAAACCTTCCAAATCACCCAAAATTCACAAATACGTCAAATTATATCATGAAAGTTGAAAATTCTACCATTTTTACAAAACCTATTGTAAGTAGGTAAGAATACTGACTTCTAAATAGGCAAAGTTTGGGGGGTAACATTTGTGATACAATGTTTCACATTCTAATCCAAAGATAATTAGTAGAACTGTCATAATTCATAGGGCTGAATTCTCTAGAAAGTAGCAATAATACTGCTACATATATTAAAATGAGATCTATACTTTTAATTGTGTAACTGAAGACATCTATTTCAGTTTGACACCATAGGACAGGGGTGGGCAACCCCTGGCACGCGTGCCAAACATGGCACGCCAGTAACTTTTGCTGGCACGTGAAACCCTCTCTTATAATCTTCCATTTACAATTTTTGCGAACATTTGAATGACATAAATGTTAAATTACAAGGAACTGGCAAGACACTTGATGTTATGTTTGGTTACATAAAGGCTTTTGAAAAGAAACTGGAAGTCTTTAAGAGGGATGTGGATGGTGAGAGATTTAGATATTTCCCAAACCTCAAGAGGCACAT